TCCTTTTCTCGATATAAAAGAAAAACCTGCTGAAAACTCAAGCTGCCCCAAATGAGAATGGCTGCCTTGTGGGGTGATGTGCTCCCTGTTTAAAGAAACGCTCACGTTCAGGCCACCTGTCCAGGATGTGAAGGGCAGGGTTCCCCTGGGCTCTCTCCCGGAAGTCCATCTGCCAGTGAGTCAGCGCTTGGTGTCATGGAAGCCGAGGTGAGGAAGAGGAAGCCACCTGCGCTTGTGGGACGGGATTGGGGGGGGCAAGGGCCTGTAGGGAGAGAGGCCACTTCCCAGGGAGGCTGTCTGCTGGCCCCATGGGGACCTTCTTCCGAGCACACTGAAAACTGCACGGAGGAAAATCCGGAACAAGAATATTAAACCAAGCAGCGCTCTCCACCGACCTCTTCTCGCACGGAGTGGCAAGGGGCGGGCGGCACTGGGATGGGGCCCTCTTTGATTCCCCAGGGATCTGTTCTGCTCCCTCTCCCCAGTTCAAGTTCCATCCTTCACTCTGATTGGCCGACAATTACCTCATTGTTGCCTCACTTGTTGGAAAATCACATCTGCCCTCTGGGCCCCTCCCTCCTTTCCCCATCCCTCTTGCTCCCAAATGACAGAGAGCCTTTCCCTGGCTGTGCATCCCTGGCCTCAAGTTCACAGCTCCCCATTGTCCTCGACCTGCGGTCCCAGGGCTCTCAGCGGGCTCTGTCCTGACTTCATTAGTCATGCAGATTTATGCGGCTCTCCTCTCAGCCCCACACCCGGCTTCACTGCTATGCTAATAGTCAAGTTCCCCTTCTCTCAACTCTGCTTCTAGCAGGTCTTATTCCAAAGGACCTCAGACCCTCTCTCCCAGCTTGGAGGGGGCAGCCGCATGGGGTAACACAGGACAGTCCTTGGCCCAGGGGACAGGAAAGCCCCCCACCCAACCCGGGGCCAGCTGCTGAGGTGTTTAGCTGAGAGTAGGAGGGGGAAGAATGAGACCGCCCTGACATCAGGGGCTAAAAACAGGCCTGGCCACCTCCGAAGGTTCCAGAGATTAAGCCCCTCTTCCGCCCTTCTCCATTCCTGCCATCACTCCCAAACAGCTGAACTGCAGATCACACGGCCTGTGCGGCTCCTTTTCCCGGCAAGGCCACTGGGGATGTTCATTTTCATTTCCTTTTGACAGGCACAAAGCACAGGGGGAGGAGGAAGCCCACGGTGGGATGTGGCCTCCCTCTGCCCACCTCCAAGGGCGGCCTGGGCCTGGCCAGCAGGACCTACAGCTTCGAGATAATTTATAGCCTGAGACCTCAGAAGGCTGGAACCACGCCGAGGCCATAAACTTTGTTCAAAGTGTCGTTTGATAGTTTATGGTGAAGGGCAGACTCCACTTCCTGGCCCTGGGCCTGGCCCTTCATTACAGAGCAACCCTGTCTGCTGCATTCTCATAAGATTCACAGGCTGTGTGGTGTGGAACCACAAATACTAAACAGACATGGTTCCCATGTCCTGGGTCCTCGCACACCCGGTTCTCCCACACCCAGGTCCTTAAACACCTAAGTTTATGCACACCGAGGTCCTCTCACACCAGGGTTCTTACATGCTAGGCTGTTAGCCACAAACACACTGAGCAGAGTCACAGAGTAGGCACCTAAAGCCGTATCAGGTGGGCCATCAGGAAAGGGTGTGGGGCCTCCCCGGACCCCCCATTTTATCTACTGGGGAAATGGTGTGCAAATGAACTTCAAGAGCAGCCTTGTGGGGAAAAGACCACAGGATTAGATGGGTGAGGAGGGAGGGGCAGGTGTTTGTGGTGGTGGACGGATTAATTGTATGCCAGGGTAACAAAAATGCAAGTGCTTTGCCAGCATTCGTCTAAATAAAATGTCACATTTCTACTTAAAAACAAGTTAGTGGACCTGTCCTCACTCCTTTTGATCACAGAAAACTTGTTTTCCTCCCACCTGCCCCCCCTAAGAACCCCTCAGGATTCCTTCCCTGCTCTGCCTCCAGCCAGGCTGTCCCCATTGAAGGTCCCTCAACCACCCCCGGGGGCTGCTTTCACCAGCCCCTATCCCTCACGCTGGGCTCGGGCCTGTCCCTCAATTCCCCACCAGGACAGGCAAGAGCAGACTGTCACACTTAATAAGATTCTTACCTAAAGCTGAGGCTAAAGGCATCAGAGCCCACCCAAAACTAACCACCCCCCACGATGGATGTAGGGTGTCCTCACTGGATGTCACTCTGCCTGAGTCAATCAAGAAGAAACGAACCTTTCTCTTCCCACATCTGAAGTCCCTTACAGCCCACCTCAAGCCTGTCACCCCACCACCTTCACAAAGCCTCGAGTAAGACCCCAACTCCATGACAGTCTGGAAAAGGCACGACTATAGATAGTAATAAGGGGTTGCCAAGGTAAAGAGAATTAAGTGGCACAAACTTCCAATTATAAAATAAGTAAGTCATGGGGATATAATGTACAGCGTAGGGAATATAGGTGATAATATTGTAATAACTATTTTTTATTTTTTTAATATATTTTGATTGATTTCAGAGAGAGGGGGAGAGAGATAGAAACATCAATGATGAGAAAGAATCATTGATTGGCTGCCTCCTGCACGCCCCCTACTGGGGATCGAGCCCAAAATCTGGGCATGTACCCTGACAGGTCATCAACCCTGGACCTCCTGGTTCATAGATCAACATTCAACCTCTGAGCCATGCCGGCTGGGCTATTGTGATAACTTTAAATGGTAACAGATGGTAACTAGACTTATTGTGATGATCATTTTGTAATTTGTATAAATATCAAATCACTATGTTCACTAAAATATTTTTAATAAAAATATTTAATGTTTAATTAAAAAAGAAAAAGAAAATGCATATTAAAACCACAGCAAAGTACCACTTCATACCTAACAGAATAGCTAAAGTAAAAATAGTGCCAAAACTAAGTGTTGACAAGGGTATGAAAACACTGGGACTCTCATACAGTGCAAATGAGCATGATCACTTTGGAAAACAGATGGACTTTATTGAGCTAACTTGAATATGAGGCCAGCAATTTCACTCCAAGATTCATACCCTAGAGCAGTGGTTCTCAACCTTCTGGCCCTTTAAATACAGTTCCTCATGTTGTGACCCAACCATAAAATTGTTTTCGTTGCTACTTCATTACTGTAATGTTGCTACTGTTATGAATCGTAATGTAAATATCTGATATGCAAGATGGTCTTAGGCGACCCCTGTGAAAGGGTCATTCGACCGCCAAAGGGGTCGCGACCCACAGGTTGAGAACCGCTGCCCTAGAGCATGGTTCTTGAACTTTACTCTGCCATTAGCACACCTGGGAGAGGGGGATCTTGTCCAAGCAGATTGCTGGACCCTTCCCCCAGGGTCTCTAATTCAGTGGATCTAGAGGTGGAGTCGAGATTCTGCAATTCTCACAGGTTCCCAGCTGATCTGATACTGAGACCACATTTTGAGAACCACCACCCTAGAAAAATTCTTGCACGTATGCACCAGGAAACATGTACAATAAAGTCCATAGCAACTGTGTCTTAATAAAAAAATTAGAAGTAACCCAAATGCCCATCAACTGAAAATTGGGCAAATAAATTATGGTGTATAAAATTATTAATCAGCACCAGAAAAGTATAAAAACTCAGCCACAGACATCATGGACGCATCATGAGTAAAAACTACCAAATCAAAGAAAGGACACATAGCATACGATTCAATTTAATTAAAGTTCAAAACCAAGTAAAACTAAGAAAATGGTCTTTAGGGACACAAATGTTAAAACTATAAAGACAGGCAATGGATCTATAGTCACAAAATCATGGTGGTGGTTCTGTCAGGGTGGTGAGGGGGGAGCTATGATGGAAAGACACACAGGGCACTTGATCTTGAAATCAGTGTCCTATTCTGACTGGTGATGGATGACACAGATATTTGTTTTATAATTATTCTTTAAAATGAATAAATCTATCCTTGGACCAGGCTCTGAGGAACACTACCATAGAGCTTCTAAATGGATCCATCAAAAGCTAAAAATTCGACACCAGTACTTTCCCCATGTCTGCTTCCCCCAAACCCGAGAAGTGAGTGGAACATAAATGATTCCCAGGCAACGCCGTCTCCAGCTCAGGGTGAAGGCAGGCTGGCCAACCTGTCATTCTAGAAAAGGGTCCTTGCTCCACATTTGAATAATCAAAGGTTCTTCAGGGTGTTGTTTTCCCCCAGAACAATGAAGCAGTCTGCTACAAAATTAAACAAGGCAGAAAACTGCTTCCAACCTTCCAAAGAAACCAGAGTATGTTGTTACTTCTGTATAGAAGCCTCTGTTTTCTCCTTTCTTCTCTCCCTTCCTTTTCTTTCTTTAAATCAGCAGTGTCTTCTTTCTTTACACCAGAGGTGTTTGCATTTGTGGATGCTCTTGCTCTATCAGAAAATTCTTTCTTGATTGAAATATTTCTCACCCAGAGCTTTCATCCAGTTGGCTCTATTTTTGCCCGTTGGGGCCAGGGAATAAATCCAATATCTCTTCAACATGACAGCCTTTCCAATAGATTAAGACAGTTACATCGTCCCTTAATTTTTTGCTCTTGGTCCCTGGGTCATCTCCCATATGGCAGTTTTGAACCCCTTCGTTTCTTGATGTGTTTTTAGGCTCTACTTAGTCTCTCCCCAACATAAAGAGGGGAACCCAGATCAGAAGGCAGATTCCAGTCATAAGAAAGGAGAAATTCTTTTCCCTACACCTGTTTTATAGGCATGGGCAGAGGCTCTGCAAAGTAGATGAGAAAAACAGCCCTGGCCAGTGTGGCTCAGTTGCTTGAGCATCATCCTCAATTCAATTCCTGGTCAGGGCACATGCCTGGCGTTTGTGCAGGAGACAAGTAATTGATGTTTCTCTCTCTCTCTCTTTTTCTCTCTCTCTCTCCCCCCTCCCTCTCTCCCTCTTTCCCTTCCTCTCTATCTAAAATCAATAAAAACAGACAAACCACATTTAAGAGAAAAGCAAACAACAGTTTGTTAACATGCGCTTTGTACCTATTCATGGGAGTGCTCAGTGAAGAGTAAATCAGAGGAGTGGTTAGAACTCAGCCTCTTAACAACAGAACAATGAAGTTTTAGAGAAGTGACAAGACAAAGGAAAAGAACGTTGAGTGCCTAATGTGGCAAATTGTGGGAAGGCAAATATATGGGAAAACTAATGGTACCTAAGGGCTAATTTTAGCAAAGTTATTTAGATTCCTTTGGTGCTGGTCTCTGGGTTGACAGGAGTCTCGAGCTGTCTCTATGACTAACTTCTGTCTTCCCAGGTAGAGAGGGGAGGAGGGGCACCTTTATAGATTCATGTCCTGCTTTTAGGCAAACAGGAGGAGGAGAGAGCTTTTCTTATATCTGCTGCTTCTCAATTGCTTCAGCTCAAAAGAATCCTTGCGCCAAACTGACATATTCTGCTGCCCTTCAAGGTTCCATATGACCAGTCTAGATGGCAGCAGGACATCAACCCCCGTTACACGTCTATTAATGCCACCCTTTTAAGGGTGATAATGTGCGTGCTATCAGAAGTAATTTTTGATGGATGCCAACTTAGTAGGTACTGGAGGAGAAAAAGAGTAGGAGATTAGTTTGTCTTTGTAAAAGCAGCAGCTATTACAGCAACGTTTGTGAAATGTTTCTTATTGATGGCGCGTTGTCATGCAGCACAATACCAGCTGATGTCAGAACCTGAAGGGCTGCCAAACAAATAAGAGATTTGTCAGATTACATTTGCCATGCATTGAATTTGACGACAGCAGTTACCTCTAGATAAGTGGCCTCAGTCTTCACAGTGCAGCGCTCTTTGTAGAAGTAACAGATAAACTCTGAAAGCTCAGTGATTTCACACAATAAAAGTATATTTCTTGTCTCTTTATATCCAATGCGGGGCTCTAGTATGGGTGGCTCTTTCCTAACCAGAGATTCAGGGGTCCAGCCTCCTTCTCTGCCGTTGTCAACAGGCTGTTCCTGAGACTGCCCTGTGGAGGGGAGGCCGGGAGAAGGGGAGCCGATTTCATTCCAACCAGCCAGAGGGAGAAAGAGCATGGACCGCCACCCCTGGTCACCCTGGGGGCCAGGTGTGAGAGCAAAGGACATCACTTCTGCCTACAACCTATTGGCGAGAACTCAGTCACGGGACTAACCTAACCACAGGGAGGCCGGTAAATGTAGCTAGACAGGTACCTAGGAAGAATTTACTTCTTGTCTCTTAGGAACCCAATGTGGGGGTTCCTATATGGATGATAAATAACATATTTTTGTTTGTTTTTTGTTTTTGTTCTTGTTAATCCTTGCCAGAGGATATTTTTTTTCATTGATTTTTAGAGGGAGTGGAAGGGATGGGGAGAGACAGAGAGAAACATCGATGTGAGAGAGACACATCAATTGGTTGTCTTCCACACGCACCCTGACCAGGGCCGGAGATTGAGCCTGCAACCGAAGTATGTGCCCTTGACCTGCATCAAATCTGGGACCCTTCAGTCCACAGACCAATGCTCTATCCACTGAGCCAAACTGGCCAGGGCAACATTTTTATTTGTGTGAAAATTGCTTTGACTTCAAGGGTCCCTGAAAGGGTCTCAGGGACCTGCAAGATCTCTGGGCCACACGGGGAGAACGCTGCCCTGAATACAGATGACCTTTCAGTGGGCTGATTTCACAACTCAGCAGCAGGACATTAAAAGGGCACACAGTAATCTTTTACCTCCCTGAACATTTTATATGCAGGGTTAGAGTGCCATTGATCAGTTTCTGCCTTCTCCAGGCTCAATTGGAAGACACTCAGCTAAGTGCATCCCCTCCATGTTAGGGGCCCCTGCAACTGGTGGTGACTTCTCAGCCCTTGCTTTTCTCAGTGCCCTGTCATGTCTATGACCTGTGACCTCTTCCCATTCAGCTCAGACAATGCATGACCTTCCTGGGACAGACCTCAGCATCTGTTCCTACCTCTCCTTCTTGAAAGTGACTAACAGAGGCAGTTACCCTGGCTTCTAACTCTCAACAGAAAGTCCACCCTCTACCCCTTGGACCTGCGTCCCTTCTCCTGGGCTGTCCTGACAGGCGCTGCCCTCCCACTCAGCCCAAACAAACTGGGCTGGTCCCTCCCTCCCCACTCAGTGCCCGGAGTGCCCAGCCCCAGCAGTCCCTCCAGCCTCTCTCCCCTCCTCATGCCCATGTGGCACAGCACACCTGTGCACACCTGGGCAGACAGGAGGCTCCCCATGCGCCGAGGCATTTTTATTTTAGATCCTGTCCCTCCAGCTCCTTCAGGTGGGGGAGAGGGAGGGGCAGACCTTGTAGCTCCTGCACTGTTGCTGGAACTGCCAGAACGCTCCCCCTTTCTCGAGGCCTGTGTCTGGGGCGAGGCAGGCTCTGGGGGCAGAACCTGTTCTGCTGTTTGTGCTTCATTTCAAGTCTCCCAGTCTCTCTAGAGACAGTGCCTTGTGAACCCTGAAGTCAGCGAATGGTGCCCCTTTCATAGATCTAATCCTTGCCTGACAACCACCCCCACCCGGGCAAATGGCAGCCTCGGATCTCAATGTGCTGAACACGAAAACCAAAGCACTGTGGTCATGTTTCCAGGTGTCAGTCTGCTGGGTACTATCAGGAGTATAAATGGGGTAAGGGTTTGGGGGCAACAATTAGGCTTAAAGTCACGTGCTCTTTTTTTTCTTTTAAAAATTATTTTAGAGAGAGAGAAGGAGTGAGAGAAACCTCAACCAACTGTGCCCACTGGAGGACACGGCACTGCCCTTCCCGCCCCTGGGCCAGGAGGAACAGGGCCACCGGAGAGAAACCCAACCCTGTGGGGAGGCTGGGAGGACACAAAGGGGCCAGGGGAAGGATTAAGTCCAAACAGGTGCAGAGTTGGACATGACTTGCTGTGCGGCCCACACAGAAGGGAACTTACAAGACCAGAACCGGGGATTGGACCAGGATGCCACACATGCTAGAGTATCACACCGCCTTCACACATGTGCCCCAGATGCAGATTCGTGTGTAACATGTGGTTCCGACACAACCGAGGGTGTGTTCTGTAGGAGCAGCTGCACGTTGATGGGAAGGAATGCTGAGCGGAGCAGGCAGGGGGATGTGGAGTTGGGTGTGAGTACAACTTGCTGCAGAAGGAGGCGGAGGGCCAGGTGGTGGTGGAGATAGGTTTCCTTCCGACCAGAACAATAGAGAGTGTTGCCTCCTGAGGAGGGGAGGGTCCAGCCAGCACAATAAATAGTGGCCCACGGTACAGGACATCAAAGGACCAGGGGAGTGCAGTACATACAACTGAATGTCTTCATCTGGACCACTACAAATCCTCGTAGTTACCAGTGTGCCAGGATGCTGACGTGGGCAGCACAGACATGAAAACAATGGGATGATACAGAGATTATCATGGGCCCTACACTCAATGACGTGCACCTTCATAAAACACTCTATATTTGGGGGTAGTTTTCTATATGATTGAAGAAGTTCTAATATATACATAATATTTCTCAGTTTTTCCAAAGCAACCAACAGAGTGGTTAAAAAAAGAAAGACTAGAAGTAAATCAAGATGGTAATGATGGTAACCCCCAGTTGTGAGGCTATAAATGATTGTTCTTGTGTTTGGACTTTCTACATTTCTAAACTTTAGAAAAATAAAATGAAAAGGCATAAAAATAATTTTAAAAAACTAAACACACACACACACACACACACACATACATACACACAAAACAAAGGTTGCAGCCCTTTGTTTAAGATTTTGATAGTTGCAATCCTACTTGATCCCTCCAACATCTCTCGGGGACACATTACTTTTTCCATTTTCAGCTGGGAAAACAGGCTAGTGCTGCTAATCATGTCCTCAGGATCGCACAGCTTATGTGAATGAATCCAGACTCAAACCCAGGTCTTTTGACTCCAGATTCCATGTTCCATTCAAGGCCTTAACTCCACTTACTACTGTTGAGTTACAAATGACTCCTAAACTTAGCCCCCTAAAACAAACTTATTGTTTCACTCATGGTTTTGTGGGTCAAAAATTCAGGAAAGGCATGGCTGGGCAGTTCTCACTAGGGGTCTCTCTTGTGGCTACCGTCAGATGTTGAGAGCACAGTTGGGCTGAACGTCCAAAGTAGCTCATGTACATGATTGGTAGTTGATGTTGGCTGCACCGGCTGTCGGATGGAGAACCCACACGTGGCCTCTCCAGTGTAAATAGAGCCAACTCAGGATAGGTGGAGGTCATACCTGGTGTCTAGCTTCCCCCAGAACAAGCTGCCCACAGAACCAGGCAGTGGCTGCAGGGTCTTTTCTGATCTGGCCTCGGGAGTTATGCAGGACCACTACCATGCATTCTCCTGGTGACAAGTGAACCCTTAGATCAGCGGTTCTCAACCAGTGGGTTGCGACCCCTTTGGCGGTCGAACGACCCTTTCACAGGGGTCGCCTAAGACCATCCTGCATATCAGATATTTACATTATGATAATGTAAATATCATAACAGTAGCAACATTACAGTTATGAAGTAGCAACGAAAATAATTTTATGTTGGGTCACAACATGAGGAACTATATTTAAAGGGCCAGAAGGTTGAGAACCACTGCCTTAGACAGACTAGATTCAGCTGGAGAAGCGGGCTCCAACCCTTGATGGAAGCGTGGCAAAATCACATTATAAAGGAGTGAGAGAGACTGTTTCAGCCAACTCTGGAAAATAAAATATCTGCCTCAGTCATTTAATCTGACCCTTCCCAACCTTTGTCACTGGGTAGCACACACAGAAAGCATTAATATGTGTGTGGCTCATGGCACACCAATTGGGAAGCTCTGATAGGCTAGCCCTCTGTGATGAACGAAGCCTCCTTTCCTTACTGTATGGCTAGTGTGCATTCAAGGGCAAGATTCCCCACGGGCTTCCCGGTACACGTGGGCCAACAGAGAAGAAACCCCCAGCTCGGATTCCTCTCTGCTACAGGTATCTCTGCTATGAGGATTTTGTGTCCATAAGCTTTGAGGTAGTTTTTCATCTTCTCTCTCATAAACATTAGAGGAAACATAGAATCTGAATGCACTGCATCAGTTTAAAATATATGCTGGCAATCACAAAGATTGAGCACTTCAAGTACGTTAAAATTCATGAGTTCATACTGATTTCAAAACAACGGTGACAACAATAGAAATCATTATGGCAATCTTCAGAGGTTCCCAGGGTACTAACTCATTCAGAAAACAAAAATAAATGGAAAAGACAAGCATTTGTCCTGCCTTTCCTGTAGGAACTATTTTCATGGCATGTGAGACATCAACGTATTGCCTCTCAACTCCCAGTCCACATGTCTTTGTTCTGCACTGTGATACTGGTACTGGGTCCTGTAAACATTTCTCCTGTTGCCACCTGGAGTAGTGTGGATAGAGGATGCTGGAAGGATGCTGCCGGAGGAAGGAGTTTCTCTCTGGTTCCAGGGTGCTTTCCTGCCTGTTCCTGTGGTACATCGTGCTCAAGAGTGTGGAGGACACCCCAGTGAGTGTTAGCTGCACCCCCACCCTCCACATACAGCTTTCTATTGAGCTTTGTCAGCACCCTCGTTTCCTGCTTGCCAGCACTTCAGTGACCTTCCCCACTGTCCAATGGGCACAGCCATAGTCTCTCCATCCTCGGGGGTGGGGAGACTCTCTTATAGTTTGTCACGCCCTTGGGTGCTCTGACTCAGCTCA